TTGTGAAACCACTCACAAGCCTGCCCTTCCAGTGTCGCCAGGAAGCACCGACACTTGATTTCTTCTGGATACGCGTACATGACCACGTTGGCCCCGAAACGAGCGAGGTGGTCTTGGGGATCGGTCGTCCCATTGTATGCCTTGATCTGGGGAGTCTTGAAATTATCTGGGAGAGGGCAGGACATTATCCTCCTGGAGAAGGGCGTTACCTCACTGAAGACCGCCTGGCGATAGGGGTTCTGGGCATCCAGCCGCTTCTCCAGTTGTTCGTACATTTTCCACAGCTCGGCTGCACCTTTATCCCCGACTGTCGTCCGTCGCTCCTCAGAACCGACCTTGGAGGTCGCTGTGGACTCCCCTCTCTTCTCCTTGAGCGTGTCTCTCAAGTCGCCTTTTCGGGCCGACCGAGTGTCCTGCAACCTTTCGAACGCAGAGGTCCGAGGTTTCTTCGACTTGGGATCTCCCAAACGGTCAAAAGCAGACATCTGCTCGAAGGAGGATGACTCGTCCTCTTCTTCCAGCCTGGAAAGCGCATCCGCCATCATAGCCTTCCCATTGGGCTTGGTCGCCTTCTTCTTCTGGGACCGCCTCACTTTTTTCTTTTTTCCTTGGGAGCCCGCAGGCCCAGCCTTCTCGCCTATGGGTCCCCCAGCCACATCTCCCACCACTACCTCGCGGTTGGGGGCAAATGCGGCCAGCACCTCCTTGAATTGTTCGGTCGTGATCCCAACCCTCTGAATGAGGGCCTTAGCCTCCCCGGTGGTGATGGGGGGGTGCCGACCTCCAGTGGCGCTGTTCTCCCCCTGTTGGGGAACTCCGGTACCTACGTTGGCGTTGCTACGTGTTTGCACCATCGTCGTTGTGGAGGATTTCTTCCGAGTATGATTCTCGAACTCTCAACAAGAGCACCAATTTGATGGACAATAAATCCACCAAATGATCCGATTTACAGAGCGAATCGCAAGAACAAAATTAAGAACAAGAATTCGAGAATTGGATGTGTATTACTAGCTTGATTTAGCTTGAGTTCTCCCCTTTCGGGTCCCTTTTATTTATACACGAGCTCTCAACAATTAAGGTGAAGCGTAATCGATGGAGTTTAGCCCGTCCAAGGGCGCAATCCCCTTTTTCCGGCTCCGTAACGGCCAATCAGCTCCGTCTCCTTCTCCGAACTGGCTCTGCCAGCTGCGTTTGGCCTGGGGTTAACTAGGCCCAGCCCCTTGGGCCGTCCCAGCTTGAGTATTCCACAGGTGCTTGACCCGAAGCTGTTTAAATGGTTCATTTGGGCCGTCCTCTGGATATCGGCCCATCACCCTTATTTCCCATCACTTTTAAAAAAAATTGAGATTTCAAACTTCTTAAATCCTTTTAATGTTTAATATTAAGTCTGTTCATTTTAATTTAATTTGAATTCAATAAAAAAAGATGAAAAACCCCGTATAAAAAGAGGCACCCGAGAAACACTGATGATGAAGCAATCACAGAGTAACGACGTAAATAAAAGAGAAATGTGGGAGTAATGGTGTAAATAAACAAATTTGGAAGTATTTATGTAAAATCTCTAATTTCTGGGAGTGTTCTTGTGAATTTTGCCAAGAAAATATTGGGAGTGAATTTTTCCTCTATCAAATGTGAAAATACTTTTTGTTTATTTCATGCGGAGGGAGACAGGGAGTGGATTTTAAAAAGAAAGAAAACGACATAGCTGGTACTCTCTGGTAGGTCTGTGGGTTTGAGTACATAATTGCAAAAAGAAAAAAAAATTACTCCGTAAAAAAGTAATGGTAATAATTGGTTGAAACCACCAAGCTACTTCTAAGAGCAAGAGGAGCGTATGAAAGAGTAAAGAAGAATATTTGTGATATATACTTCTTTTCATTAAAAATTATTCTTCAATGGGAGAGATAAACAAGAAGGTATTATACATTCTTCAATTTTGAAGAAGTATCTTTACCTTCTTCATTTGGGGAGGTATATCAATTTTTCTCACCTTAGTTATTGTAATTTTGCTTGAATGTATTATTATAAATTATTAATTTGTATCTTTGTCATTGTAAAACTTAACGAGTCAAAAATTAACAAAAAAAGGATACTTTATTTTTTAATCTTGCACTCTATATTTTTAAGTTTTTTGTATTCGGGTATTTATATTTTTACATGTGTAATTAGACATAATGTATATTTAACTATTTCAAAACTAATATTTTAATATTTTTTTCCCAATAAATTAGTTGTATTTTTATAAAATCTTTAAATTTAAAAATTTAATCAAGAAGAAACAAAGGCAACAAACTTCAAATTTACCTCCCCGTGATTTGTTTAAGAATGTATATTTTCTTTTCTAATAATTAAAATTTGATTTAAGAAGGTAAATCAACTAATTTTTCCCAATAATGTATGGAGATGGATTTTTTCCCTCTTTTGCCTTTTGATTTACTTCCCCCATTGGAGTTACACACTTTTTGAAAAGGTAAACTTGATCATTTGGAAAAAAGAAATCACCCTACATAGCACTCTAACTCACCCTAAACTACGCATTTAGCACTACTCATTGTTTTTAACAAACTTAGCAATTTATGGTGTCAATCCTTTCCTATCATACCCTTTACCCCTTTTTCTATTTTTTCATTAAAAATTTCGGCATTTAACTCCAATCTCTCCTTCCGTTCTCCCGCACGCTATTGACTCCATGATCTCTCCTTCCGTTCGCCCGCGATGATGCTTCCTCAGTCCTTCGCCCACGATTCCTTGGCCGATTAGCAACGGCAATCATCAAGTTCTCTCCCATGCTAATCTTTGATGTCGCTAATCATTTTCTCTTCTCCTTTAATTTTTAAT